TTGACATTTACACTCGAATATTAATACATAATTACTACCACTTCTAATATTTAGGTAAGAATTATCAAAGTAACATTTTTTATTACTATGGAAAAGAAAGGATACGAGTGTATTTTAAAAATACTTGGTATTATAATCCATTAAGAAAACCTTCAGATCTGAGATAAAATTTGTCCATTATATTGAAAACATGTTACTAATTATACCTTTTATTAACAGACCAAATTGTTTTTTTCAAGTGAATGAACCATTAATGAGAACATTGGTTAATAACTACGTGCGGACAAGAGTATCAAAAGTTTAATCTTACAATGCTAATTGTAATAATCCTAATTATTTCTTAAAAGCTCAATTTTCATGGAGCTCAATTCTTTCAAATTCATTTAGTGAACAGTATCAAGTAAAGATCAGATTCCTTATTAGAGATTTTAATCTGATCACGTAGAACGTATTAATAATCTTTGCTAACATCAAACTGTCAATTTGCCAAAAACTCTCAACAGTCTGTCTTATCTCATCATGAATTTCGCAAAGACTCACGAGCTCCCCCTTAATACGCTTTCATCGTAGTTGTGGAGTTGAGGTTGTGATACCTCTCGACGTTTCCTAGTGAGTGTAATTTTGGATCGTAGTGAAATTTCCTTCCGATGTCGCTTCCCAATAAAGTCTTGCTTCGATTCCCATCACTGAAAACTAATTTATTTTTTTGAAGATTGAAGAATGTGATTCATTGGTTACACATTCGAATTTAATGTACATGAAAATCGTTTGCAGAAACAGAGGATTATTTGAGCCGTTTATTTTGAAAGTGGCCTAAATCCATTTATACTTAAATTGAGGTATTTAAGGATTTGTGTTTCAATGCAATTAAAAATATACGTACAGGATACCAATGAGTCATACTGCTTAAGTGTATCTAAAGGAGTTAAATTCACAATTCCTATTAAAATAATGGCAATTATTAAGTGAATAATGTGCGCTTTCTTACCAAGAATGGAGTTAAGCCACTTTCAAAATTAACAATCAGATTCGTTATAAAATTTGAAAGAGCAAGTCCATTCAACATAATTTAAAATGCTTCAAATTGAAAAAAAAACAATACTAAATTTATTTTATATATCTTTCAACACTTCAAAAACAATATTTTAAAATTATTTTTATTAAAATTTTTCTTTACTGCAGATCAACGTAAATAATAATTACTTTTCCATATAACTTCTTACAAAATCTGAGCAACATGTTTCATTCAAATATTAGATATTAATCGATTGGTATTATATTATCGACATTAATATATCGGGTACTCGATTTTTCTGTGCAAGCGCTTTTGTTTTTTCTTCCATTAAAGATAAAACCAGTTATGAGGTATACTCTGACCCACATTAATTGCTTCATAATAACATAGAATAAATATACTTTTACATAATAGTTGTATTTGATTTAACTTTTACAATATTTTTCTTGAAATTGATGTGAAGAACAATGGTAAAAATGCAAAGTCCCAGATGTATTTTCCGGTAATAAGATGTTCATATTGTAGGATTTTCAATCTGTGTACTGTGTAGGAGAGGTGTAATGAGCAATACTCTCCGGATTTTAATACACTTTTAATACTCTTGACTCCTCCAACGCTTGTCTCCGACTACCCTTCCTCACTGCCTTCACGCATCTTATTTCATTCCCAATTATTCTATCTTTCTCTTGTACTCACCCTCTCACTCACACAGTCTTTAACATTCGATCCCAAAACACTCTTTAATCGTACCTCGATCTCTCAAGCTCTGTCACTCGGTTCTAAACATTCTTCTCAGTCACCTGATCCCTATCGCTCGGTCATAAACACTTTTCATTTGCACCGTAATCTCTCGCATGCCCTACACTCCTATCGCTTGGTTATAAACATTCTTCATTACCCTACAATATAAAACAAAATCACTTCGCAAAATAATCTAATAACGCAATCAAACCAATTAAAAAATTTAAGGCAAAAAACAATTGGGGGTTATACATGAAAAATGAAATATTTAATAAAAATATTCAAATACACAAATAAAGTATTAAAAGAATATTAAAATACTAATGTTAAATCGATCAGTTGTTAGGAAATTTAAAAATACTTATACAATTGAATCGATATTTATGATTTTTCTTTCAATTAAAAACTTATAGCAATACTAATTCATTTTAGTTTTAACTAACAGAATATAAGTAATTTTCCATTTATCTCGAACTTACTTTAAAACTGTACCCACAACCATATTGTTTTTATTAACCTATTTATTCCAACGAAATCCTTATTCATATGTTGATTTTTAAGTTTTGAGAAGACGGTTCCGTTGTTGACAGAAAACTATGGAGTGTACAAAGTAAAACCAGCCGCATTCACTAACCTCAAACAATGTATGACGTAAAAGATTGAAAACATTTTCCAAGACTTGTTAACAGCGGATGATATTGAGATCATCTATTAAAGAAACGTTTCCCCTTCCTATAAATGATTAATATACTACTCTTTATATGTGACCCGTATTAAAGACGATAACCTATATTGGATATGTAATTTTAACCTACTATAGCCCAAATTTCTTTTTGTGACAATAACGAAAGTGATGCAGTATGAAATTAATAACTATCAACCTATGAATACAAATCAACAACGTATTCAGTAGTCTTAATAATGTTATTAAAACGAATAGGTTTTATAACTTTGAAGTTAGAATGACGTTAAACGTTTACGCCCGTGTGTATAAAAATTGTAGTTGATTAATTATTTAATTTCATTCGTCATTTCGTGGTAAAAAATTAAGTAAATCAGTTTAACTCAGTATAGTGATATGTGACCTCGAAGTCACTATAGAGAGTTAAATAACTAAATAAAAAAGAATCATCTGCATTTCCATAATCACTTTGTTAATATTACAATCTATATTTGTAAGTTACGGATACTCATATAATATCTGTGAACCACGAATTTACTCAAATATTCTTACAACAGAGATATACGCAAATTAACCCTTAACGGACCGGAAATATTTCAAGTTTACTTACCGTCAAAAAATACCGTAACATAGATAACAAGAGGAAACAAATTCACAGAAGCGACCTAGCACAATACTTCACGTGTGAATTGTAAATATTACAACAATAACAACGATAAAAATAATAAAGTTAATTAAAAAATAATAAAAGTGCCATCCCGCTTATATGGCGGCATTGATTCGTTTAGAGTTAAATTATAACTGACTCGTACAAGTTATTTCCCCGTCACTTATATGTCAAAGTTAACACTTTGCACTTATATGTCATGTTGGAGACAACAGTACAAATTTATTACACTATATTCGTAATACTTTAGAAAGTGCTACAATTTAAATGATTATAAAAATTAAATCTTCTTATAATAATAACAATAAATGCAATAAATATAAAACGTTGAATTCTACCGTTGTAAATGACTTTAACTCATTTCTCTAAAAATAAATATAAGTTTACACCCAACAACATTGAATATAAATCGAGTGCAAAGGGTTAAAAATTTCGTGCCTCGGTGAGTATCGGTTACCCAGGAACGGACAAAGTCAACTCTTCCGGTCATAGCAAACTACACCAGGTTGTTTTCCAGGGTTGCCGTCGGACGATGCATCACGTGGGCTGTTCCTCCGTCGTAGCCGTTCAAAACAGCTGAACATTTCGTCGTTACTAGGTGATATTTCCAGCCGGCGCTGCGAGTAGTTTTCATTTTACCCTGAATCGCCGTTGGCATGCTTTTCCGGCCGTTTTCGACCCACATGCGACCCAGGTGAACGAAGAGGAAAAAGCGGAAAAAACACCCGGCCCACCCGACGACCCCGACGAGTTTTCTATGGCCGATTCAAATTATGCGACGGTCATTATGGTAATAACCGTTCACGTATCTCACCGACTATTAATTCCGGCAACGGCATAAGCCGCGTATTTACGGGCGCGCGGGCATTCCTGCAGCGCTGCGGCGACAACAACAGCCGACACACACCGGCCTGCTGGAAAACAGCGCGACGGCAGCTGTATTAAAAGCCGGAAAATTGAAAGCAAAACACCGTCGTCGGGGGTTGCTGGTTCAATCCAAGAGATACGACAGGACTATGGATTAAAAATGGAATAGGAAGGAAGACTGCGAGCAGACGAGGACGGGAACATTGAAGGCCGAGGGATAAGTTTTATGAAAATCTGCCGACAACAAGGAATCCGTGAGGAAAAAGGATCTGTCGTGGTAAAATCTCTTTTACAATAGATTCTATTTCATCGAGTAACACTCGATTAACGTGTATCGATCGAATGGGTTACACTTGCCTTGATTTACGCGAAGATTCGTTCCACGATTCGTTTTACGCTATTTTCGTTCGCGTAAATAGAGTCAGTTGGAAAACAAATATTGGAAAGAAAAGCTGGAATAAGTTTTAGAAATACATGTTTATTTCATACAGCTAAACAAAAGGAATAATAACGATGTCATTTTGAAAAACAAAAGTACATTTTATTCGGTGTCACTAAATTTACGTCTCGCATCAAAACTATTGCCTAAATAGTGTTCTAATTTCCCACATAAGAGGGATACTCGTGTAAAAAGAACACGGCAATTCGAAAGTCATGTGTACTATGATGAAACTCGATTTATCTTCGTATTTTAGTCCTTTTTGGTGGTGAACAGTTTACTGTCTATGGTGTACGTCAGCGCAATACAGGCTTGAAAAGAATAATTATATTCGTTTATTAAGATCTTTAGAAGCATTTTATGATTATACTAATTGTTATTAGACTGTAGAATTGGGGAAGCAAAATGACGATCAAAAATGGGTTTTCCTAGCAAATGTTATAGAGGATTTCACAGATTTTGTACATTTTTTCACAACGTATACATTCTGATAATTTCTTCCCTGCTAAATTTCCCATAAATGGGACTATTCATGATTTCTTAGATAAAATAATATAAACAATATTAAAGGAACAGTAAAAATAATACGGCTGTGTATTTTTTACGTCAAACAGTAATGTTTATTGTTTTTTTAAATAATTTGTACTTTTTAAACGGTTTTATGGATCAAAGAATTTATTCTGTGTGAAATTGTCTCATTCCACTGCAAGATCTACAATCTGTCGTCTCCTCTTAAGTAATTAGCTTTCCGTGATAAAATCCTCATTAAGTTCTTCTTAATGAAAAAGTTCTTTTGACCGAAGGGACATAAAATAATTGTAAGCGACAACTTACAACAATGTTAGAATATTTATATGAATTACTGATTCATTATCCATTTTAAATATAAATGTATAAAATCATATAAAACATTCAGTCTTACGTTTTCTAGTAAAAATATCAAGTTTTATTAGCAACATACAAATGGTCCAAACGTCATCTTATTATCTGGTCATAAATTTTCTAAATGACAAGAAATCGTTTTAAAGTTACACTGCGAACAGTACGATAACATTGAAATATAGAAAAAATTAATATTTTATACTTTTTGAACTCTTAAAAATACTTTTCCGAGATAGACTGGTAAAGTTAATGCCTGTTTAAAATTATATCGTGGGAAACAACATTCGCGATCGCAAATGGAACGATTTGAATACGATTTATCGTTATTTTCAAGAACAAATTCTGAAACACGACCACGTAGCATCAACGGAGAACAAAAGTCACACAGCCCAACTATGGC